GTCTGCAGTGCAGCTGCAGCTCCAAAACTACTGGACCAATTGTTTTGGAATTTAGTATCAAAGTCGAAGGTAACTTGAGGATGAACATTCAAACTCGCCAGTACCACCCGACCTTGTGTTTCAAAATTGCAGGAGAAAAACCTGTGCCACTACAAACTGTAGAGCCGAAACAGCTGTAATGATTTTAATGAATGTTGTATAATATTTTCCCCATAAAAAAAACTGATAAAAAAGTTATGACTAATGCAGCAGAATTTTATTTTAGCATTACAAAAAAATAGACACTTTTTGGATGATTATGCTTATTATAAAGATAATGAAATGACCTAAAAAACATGTTTTGCATGTGTCCAAAGCAAAGTCAGTTTTTTTTTATTTTTAACTAGATCATTTTTTTCTATGGAAGCAGTCGAGATTGCTATTTGAAGAATAATTTGATTTTTTAAACGAAAAATTAATAATAATATCTTAAGGAGTCAACTTTTAATGTAATTATTTTTTGGAGAATTAGTCAGGAATAACATAGTGGGATATGTCACACATATCTGATATATAAATATTTGGAAATAATAAACCATTTTGTAATAATGCGCATGTTTTTCTTTTTAAAACTAATTATTCATTTTATATTTCCATAACTTCTTCCCAGTTAAAATATTTAAAACTTACCTCTGAAAGAGACTCGAAGGGAAAGTCATTGACTCCATACTTAGCCTCAAGAGAAGACATGATTCTTATTACGTGTAGGGGCATCTTCAGCACACGAGTGGTTAAGAGCATTCCAAGGAGACTCATTGCTTTTTCCATGTCCTTGCGGGGAAATAGGAAATCTCCGACCAGCCAGACCCTCAGGTGATCCGATTGGAGCTGCTTGACTTGGAAACAGACCTCGGCCAACATGCAGCAAGACATTACTTCTTGAGTGACCAAAGTGTGCAGCAGCCCCAGCAAGAGGCATTGCGAGCTGTTCAGCTCCAAGTCTGCGATGGTTGCTGGCCCGTAGATATATGCTGTAGCTCCATAGTCAGCTCCGGCCAATATTTTGCTAATGACAGCATTTTGACTCGATAAGCACACCTGATTTAGCGCCTTCAGTAGTATATACATAGTTATTCTTTCTAATAAAAAAATAATAATTATATTAATAATATTATTATAAAAGAATGCTAAAGTTAAATTATGGAAAAAAGATAGAATAGAAAAATAATTTTATTCTGGGACAAAGTCCCTTTAGAATAACAAAAAATTACAAAATTAAAGTATTATATCATATTATATAAGATAATCAGGATTAGTTGAAATTAAATCTTTATAAAAAAATTTACTTTTTCTCAATTTTCTTAAAATGACTATAGTCCGTCATTGACAAAGGGCCATTCATATATGGATAAGACAAAAATATATAATTGTCTTGAATCAAGTTATATTAGAACCATAATAATTTAATTATAAATAACAAAAATATATAAATAACAAACTCAGTTGACTTTTTTATACTCGTCACATTACAGCTATTCGATTTCTGAAGGACACTTGATCAAACCATATGAATCATCCCTCTATGGCAAATATGAATGCTTATTTTCAGATATATACTTTACAATCGAGTCAGAAACTTTATGTAAGGAGAAGTTTAAAGAAAATCATTATTTGAAAATTAATAAATGTGGAGGAGAAGCGAAGCTCAGTAGGAAAGGTCCTGTGTTCTTACTTGGGTTCGAGATCAGCTGTGACAAATAATTATTAATAATTGCATCAGCTGTGAAGTCAGATACCCTCTTAAGGTATATTCAGGTTCTATTACCGGTACTGGTGGGGGAACTAGTCTGTCAAATGGTCCTTTCTGCCAACCCCATACAGCTGCCTTGAGGTTGCCGCTGCATACTTACCTGAGTGTGAACGTCATGATTCATTTGCTAGGGCGACTAAGAAATAAAAATCAACCGATCCAAGTGGGAATCTAACCCACAACATTCTGAACAAGGTACTCTGAGAAACATGCTCTAACACGCTCACCCATACCACCCCACAGTGGGACAGATAACCAATCTAGGTGGAAAAAACTCTTAACACATGATATTTAATTATTTATCTAATTTATAAACCCAATATAAAGGGATGAGTACACAAATGCATAAGAAATAACAATCAAGTAATATATATATATATATATATATATATTATATATATATATATATATATATATATATATATATATATATATATGTATTTGTGGGCCAGCGAATAATTGAACGAAAACTCAGCTGTCAAGGTAGTAATTGTTTACGAGGTTGTATTTATGGTTAGGGGCCACTAAAATAAAAATAATTATTATTAATGATTATCTTGTATTTGAACATTTCTGTTTAATCTCATTACGTTGGATTTGAAAAAAATTCACTATTAATTTTTTATACCTAGATTGATCAATTGCCCCACTGTGCGTTCTCTCAGGTTCTACCAAGTGGGTACTCATAATAGATAAAAGAGAAATACGTCATGGCTAGGCATGATTTCAACTAAATCATCTCAATGCACAACATTTGGCATAAAACTCAGGATCTTTCATGGCTTGCATTGATGCAGGAAAAAGAACATAATTACAGTCTTAATAGTTTTAAAAATGACAAACTCTACTTTATTTTAATATAAATTTAAACTAGTTTTCTATGGAAAAATGTTTAATTACTTAATTAAAATATTTTCTAAGTTATCGCTTCTTATTATACAAAAAAAAAAAACGCGACTCGTTCAAAAACACACAAATCTTAAATTTCCTATTTTTCTGCTGGAAATTAGTTAATTGTTTATAAGAACATTTTTGTAGATGTTGAAGTCTACTACCAACCTTTAAAATATTTCCCTCTACTTACGGGACACCCTATATTCATAGTGTAATAAGTATACGTTAGAGTAAATTATGGTGAAATAATATATTAGGTCTTCGTTTTTCAATTGTAACATAATTTTTAAAAGAAATGTTATAAACAGCATGACGAGACGTTCTCATGTTTCCCACTACTACGCTGAGTCAGCGTGGTTCTTTCCCTCCTTCAGAAGACAGTACTTCCTAGGTACATTCCTTTACCAAATAATCTATAATCATCGTCCGTCCTACGCATTCAGTCTCCTTCAATTAAAGTCATCTATCCACTCCCTCTCCACAAGATCTCGTCCTTCCGACCTTTATACAACTTTCCACAAATCGGCCTCATTTCAACACTCCTTTATTGTCCGATCCACCACATTTTGGAATTCCATCCCACTTAAAATCCGCCATGCACCATCCTTATCCACATTTAAAACCCTCCTTTTCCAATTCCTCCTTACAATTCAATCAGACGCTGGGTAGCCTATTGTTGTATTATTATACTATTATTGTATTGTATATATATACTATTGTACTATTATTGTATTCTCACTATTATTGTATTATTGTGTGTATGTATTATGTATATACGATTATACTATTATTGTATTCTTCGAACATACTATTATTACTATAACATCTTTATTATTATTATTTTTTTATTCATTAATACAATGACATGACAACAAAAGTTATTTGTCGCTCATTTATAATTTCATAGCGTATTGCGTATAGCAACTATTTTGCAGTATTAGGACCTTATTTCTCATATTAAGGCTTCCTATATCTGTACAGTTATGTAAATACTTCTTTTATCCCTTATTTTTTAGTTTTTTTTTTTTGTTTTTTTGTTTGTTTTTGTTTATTGTAATATACATTTTGGCCAGATGTAATGTTAATTTTATGTACAATATTGTTATTCTCAAGGGACCTAGTCCCAGAATAAAGTTGATTCTTCTATTCTATTCTATTCTATTCTATATTATATACCATAAAGAAATAACAGGATACAATGTATGAAAACTTACATTTTTCGAAACAGAACGACATACATACTGAATTACTGCACGTTTACACAAGTTCCACGAGACATCTATTTTTATTTTCAATAATCAATCATTGTGATCGACCAAAAAATTCAAAAACTTAATCCCCTGTCAAGATTTGAGGTTTCACGTTTCATGATGGGTAGAATTCGAAAAACGAATAAATTTTTTTGTCCGTCCGCCGTCCGCGCATTTTCTCCGAAACTACTGCACCGATTTTTTTCAAATTTGGATATAAAATCAGGGGTCACACGAGGATGATCCTATTTTATCGACATTGTTATCCGCCTTTTACTTTCAAAATGGCGGCTGAAAGATCTGCGTTGCTATAGACTGTATAGTCATTTTCTCTAAATTTATCTATATAACATACTTCAACAAAAAGAAGCTGGAAAACAAGTTACGAGGGATGGTAAAATTTAATTCCGAATAACTCAAAAAGTATACACTTTTTGGGCGATGATTTTTTAAAAGTTTACGAAATTTCCTACAAACCATAAAATAAATCGTTAAAATCGGACAATTAGGAGCAAGGATATGGTCTCGGTTCTATGTGATATGGATATGGATATGTTCTACTCCAAATGTTATATTCTTTGTTTGGTTTTTAAATTTTGAATGTGTTACTGAAGTAATGATATTTTAATTTTGGATATTACTAATGATTAAAAAAAAAAAGTTTAGTCCAATAATTGGAATCACCTTTTATTTGTTTTTCTTCGTAACTAGGAAGGTAATGTTACTTTAGATGTATAATTGTTTGGAAATAATAAACCATTGTGGAATAATTTGCATATAAATTGATGTCGTTGATATAGGCATTGTGGCTAATGATTATTATTATATATCTATTTTTTTTTGGTCCTCCCCTTCCTCGCCGTTAAGGCTACACGGGGTTTTCCCGGGCCGGGGATTTAAAAGACTCGCTCGGCTCCGGGACGCGAACTCGTGACTATTTTTATATCATTTTATTCATATATCAGGTTGCCGGGCAACGGCGGGGCTGTGCACACTCGTTAGCCCATTGGGCCACTAATGATTATTATTATTATCATTTATTTATATATATATATTTTTATTGGCAGTTTCCCCTGAGACAATCGTGATCCCGATCGTCTCCTGCATCCTGGGGTTTCCCCTCCTGGCACTCCTCGTCATCTGCTGCCTGAGGCGGAGGGCGAAGCTCGCCAGGGAGCGCGACCGTCGCAGAGCAGGGTGAGTACCAATATCTTTAATTATTAAGAAAAATAAATAATATTGTTAATAACACAATTAGTCATTGTAATGAACCTGTTTCTATAAAATAATGTTTTATTTTAGTATACAGTATTATATGTTTAATTCTTTTTCTTATTTGATCATTAGAATAGTTCTTTTTTTTTTAATGGTTTTATTGAGTATTAATACAGTCTGCCACAATGAAGGGCATTAATACTAGAGCTATAGTATTCATTCACACAATATGTGCATAAGAAAGGAAAATAAATATAAATAACCAAAGTAGGAAAAAAATATATATATATATATATTTAAACAGAACCATTTAATTGGGAATAAGGTCACTTATTAATTATTTAATAAACTACTAAATGTTCATTACCTCAGTGTTAATTGACGTTTCGATCCCGGTAATTTTCCTATAAGTTAACGATGGGATCCTCTTCAAAGTTTAAAAATAGAGCTTCGATGAGGCCAGGGACACACCGACAGTCTCAACACCGTCCACCAGCACATATATTAAGCTACTGTTAATTAGTAACGTAATATATGTGCTAGTGGACGGTGCTGAGACTGTCGGTGTGTCCCTGGTCTGAGCTTTGAAGAGGATACCATCGTTAACTTATAAAAAGAAAAATACCGGGATCGAAACGTCAATAAACAGTGAGGAAATAAACATTTAGTTTATTAAATAATTAATAAGTGACCTTATTCCTAATTAAGTGGTTATGTTTAAATTTAATACTTAAAGGTCGATTAAAGAAAAGTTGTAAAGATATATATATATATATATATATATATATATATATATATATATATATATATAGAGAGAGAGAGAGAGAGAGAGAGAGAGAGAGAGAGAAATAAAAACATAAAGTAATATATTAATATTTAAGATAAATAAAATAACAGATTAAAACCGAATGATAATAAAATAAATAAAACACATTCACACCCACTTATGCAATATTGATATTGGCCCAGGGGACTTCTGTTAACCCAGTACCCTCGGTTATCTTCTGAGTTTGATTGCAAATTTGAAAAAAAATCGGTCCAGTAGTATCGGAGAAAAGCCGCGTATGGCGGACGACGGACGGACAAAATTTTTTTTATTGGATTTTCGGATTCAACGTATTGTGAAAAGCAAAACCTCAAACTTTTCATTTTATTGGACGACCACTATAATCATTATAATTCTGGCTTTCGGGTTTAACATAACCTGACTATTTAATCTTGGTGAAAAAAAAAATTCTAATCCCTAGATTTTATTGATTTTTGATTTTGTTTAAAGTTTTTTTTTTTTTTTTTATTCATTCATGATATTTTCAAATGTATAAAAAAAACATACAGCAAACGTGCGCTCAGGAATAAAATAAAATGAAAACGCTTGTTGATAAACTACCCACTGATATATAAATTTACACAAGAAGATAACGAGGCCACCTTCTTTTCAGACACCTCGGAGGGTTATCAGAGATCGAAGAGGAAGCAAGGTTTGAAACTGAAGTTTGTTATAGAAGGATAGGTATTGGACCAAATCGGAAACATATGGAACATTAAGTTCGATATGGATGATTTTATTTGTGACAAAGTAAGGAGCGTTGAGAATTTTGCATTGTAAGGATTAGATATCTTCGTCGTAAACCAACGACTTCCTGTCCTATAGTTTCCTTTAACAATACCCCACTAACCCCTGTTGACCAAATCCGATACCTAGGACTCCACCTTGACAAACGACTCACTTGGAACCCCCATACCAGACTGAAACGACTAGAAACCGCCCGACGTTTCCGACTACTCCAGCACTTACTAGACAAACGCTCTAAACTGCCAACTATTTACAAAAGACTCATATATATTACTATAATAAGGACTATATTTGGACTTAAGGGATCGAGCTTTGTTGCTCTACTAAATCATCAAATTCCTCTCGTATCCAATCCCTACAATCCAAAATCCTACGTAAAATCCTTAATGCTCCCTATTTTGTCACAAATAAAATCATCCATAATGACCTTAATGTACCATATGTTTCCGATTTAGCTCAATCCAGATACCTGTCCTTTCATAATAAACTTCTGAACCATCCGAACCCTCACGTTTCCAACCTTGCTTCCTCTTCTATTCCTGATAACCCTCTGAGGCGTCTGAAAAGAAGATGGCCTCGGGACCTTCTAATATAGAAATATAATTGGAGTGCTACCAATGGGTAGTTTCTCCTCATGTTGTACATGTCGTATTACTTGTTCATATTTACTTGTTGTATTTATTATTAATTACAATTGTAAATTTCGTTAATAAAAAAAAAAATTGGATAAGAGAAGAATTCGATGGCTTAGTGGAGCCCCAAAGCTCAATTCCATAATTCCAAATAGGCCTTATTATAGTAATATATATGAGTCTTTTGTAAATAGTCGGAAGTTTAGAGCGTTTGTCTAGTATGTGATGCAGTAGTCGAAACCGTCGGGCGGTTTTTAGCGTTTCAGTCTGGTATGGGGATTCCATTTGAGTCGTTAGTCGAGGTGGCTAGGACTCCATAATAGATTTGTCAACTGGGATAAGTAGGTAATTGTTAAAGGATACTGTAGGACAGAAGGTTATAGGTTTGCAACGCAGAGTAAAGGTAATTTGATGGGATTTATTCCAATCTTCAAGGTTTGTTATATGTGATTGGAGAGTTTGGGATGTTGTTTAAAATTATATTGTTCAAAGTGGTCAGTTACCTTGGAATTACATTTATGCGAAATGTGGCCTATCGGTTCTTCTTGTACGAGATCTATTTTTTTGTTTTTTGTTCTGATGACGCTTGAATCTACGTTTTTAGATGACAAAAGTCAGAGATATATTTTGTGGGGATAACGCACAGATCTCGACAGGCTGGATTTTTCACTCTATATTTTTTTTTAAATGTGATACCTATATAGTCCGTGTTAGAGGACCCTTTTTTGTCAAATTATTAACATTCGCTACAACTTCGGGAATAGGTTCAACTCATCGTAACAAAAATTCTCTGAATGGGGGCGATTCAATCTGGAGATTGACAAATTTTATCTATTCAATAAGATACTAAAACCTCATGAACACCATTTGATTTCCACTTAGATTGTAAGTTAATTTGATCACAAAATCGAGAAAAAAGGTGGCCTAAAAAAATATTGGGCCATTTGGCATTATCACTTCAACATGTCAAAGTAACTAGGTTATATTGACCAAACGACTCAATATTTTTTTAGTCCACCTTTTTTTCGTGATCAAATGAAAACCAAATGGATATTAATGGGTTGTTAGTGTTCCATTAAAATAATTAATTTAATGAGAAAACGCCCCATTTCTGAGAATTTTCAAAGATTAAAAATTGTAGGCTCCTATAAGATGAATTTTCATCATCATTCACAAAGCATTGTGAGTAGTAAAATTTTGTTTTCTTAATTTATAATTTTTCTATTCCTGAGATTGTATTTCTTTGAAATGTATTTTATTTTCTAATTATCTTCGACACACACCTCGCTATGTGTATATATACACTTTATTTTATTTTTTTCTTCTCCTAATCTTTACGTGTAATCACTTAAACATCTTAGGGAACATATGTATATTTAATTTTTTTTTTAGAACTTATTTCTTTATACATCAACAGTTATTTTTTTTTTAAATTTTTATATTCCATCACTACAATTCTTTGCCTATAAAATTGATTTTCCTTTCCTTTCTAATTTCATTCAGTGATTATTATGCTATTGTTTTAGCTCCAATATTGTAGTATTGAACCCCTATTACCAAACTGTCCTCGTTAATATATCCTAAGAGCTATTATACTTAATTTATTACTAATATTTTGTTATTATTCATTGTAATAGGTCTTTTGGCCAGATTTATTGTTAATTTATATGAACAATACTGTTATTCTAAAGTAACCTAGTCCCAGAATAAAGATGTTTTTTTTTAAATAAAAAAAAAATAAAAAAAAGATGTAGCCATTCACGAAGTTTAAGGCGTATTTTAATAATTTGATAACAAGGGGTCTGTAGCAGGGATTACTATGGTATGTTTCGTATCTTATTTATGTCAATAAACATATTTCCACTCATTGATTCATTCATGTAGAAGAGTTGACGAACTTCTGTCAATGATTCATTAATAAATATAGTATAATACTTATCTATTTAATTGAATATTTTAATTCATTGATAAATTAATGAAAGGGATATTTTCAGAACGAGTTGCGCAGGAGGAGGGATTCACACACATATTTTGAGCGGGGCAGAGCAAGGGATGCACACTCACATTTTGTAAGTTGAAGGAAAGAGATTTCCCTTAGCTTAGCAGGATGGGATAGCCGCCATCTTGTACTCTGTCAAGGACATAGCTTGCATCTCCATTTTTACACTTTTCTAATCCTGTGCAAATGGTGGCCTAGAACCCTATGTAAAAAAAAAATATTCCAAAACACATTTTTCTGTTTTGTACTATTTGTAAAAATATATAACCATACCCTCCTGAGATGCATTTTTAGATGTCAGTATTAGACTGAAAATTGTTCTATTAGAAGTGACATCTTGATGGTTTATAATTGTTACTTTTTTGTTGGAGATCAATTACAGGCAATATAAGAAACGTTTTCGTTATATCTATTTCGACAGTTGACGTTTCGGCCCATACAACTTCGGTATTAGAGAAACTGTAATTTATTTCGTCACATAAAGTTATAGGTGTTGTTATTAGAGTTGAGTTTTTACATCCGTTAATATTTCTTATCTTTGCCCTCAGACTCGCGATACGCGACATATATTTACATGAGTTAAAGAATAATTTTAAATATGTTGAAATAACCACTACTGATTAATTATTAAAAAAAGCCTCCACGCATTCTAAAGTACGGAATTTTATGTACTAGGTTTTTTTAAATTTTTATTTTTACATTAAAACTATTTTGGGTTATGATGCAAATTTCCGCAAAACTGTTTCTCTCTTAGTGCTTTCAAAAATCAATGTACGGAACTTCAGTTTCTTCTAAGATAAAAGATTCTCTTGAAAAATCTCTCTGTTATATAATTTTTTTTTTATATGTCTAAGATATTAACACATATTTTAAGATTTCATATATTAAGATACATTGCTTTTTACTCCCAGAATTATTTCTGCCTTATCATGGTTATAAATTGGTAACAAGAAAAATTATAATTATATAATAATATGAATTATAAATAAGGCGCGATGTATAATGCATATTTTAAATGATATTAAAAATTTATCCGAACTGTGGTTCTGTTCGGTTTTTTTTTTTTTTTTATGTAGATAAAAAATAATACAATCTGAACTACAGAGTACATGTAAATTTCAGTTATAGAATTTGAGCAGTGCAATTAAATGAATAGTTCGATGGCTCAGTTTAAAACTAAAACAACTGAAAAGTCAATGTTATGAAATAAACGAACTTAACGATTTAAACAAACTTAAAAAAACTAAATGAAATGTTGCAAAGTGGAACATCAACTTTTACACTGATTCTAAAGGCACTTTGAAATGGTACAGTTTTGTATACCAAGGTCTATAAAATTACATATTATTATAAAAACCTTTTTTTTTTTTTTTGGTTTAATTTTTTTATTCACACCTGTCATAGGGGTAATGACAACCAGTGAATGTGAGGCCGTTGGAAAAAAATAATGTCATGAAAGGCATGAGGAGGATCAGTGCCCAGCGGCACCTCACTCGGCGTGATATCTACATTAGGCGAGGAGGTCCCTCATCCAGCTCCTCTTCAGTCTCCTACAGACGTTACCTGGCATATCCGTAGTGGCCATGTCATTTATAAGTGTATTAGGATGTCCTTGTAAGTTGTCATGGAATCGTTTGTAATGAGTTCGTATGTGTTCGTTAACAGTCGGCATGTGGAGGTCAATATGTAAGGTTATGTTGCTAACGTACCAAGGTGCTTTTGTAATTGTTCTGAATGTTTTTGCTTGAAAGGTTTGAAGTTTGTTTAAGTGAGTCTTTTTAGCAGTTCCAAATATCTGTGATGCATAAGTCCAAATAAGTTTTGGTAAGTAATTGTATGTGTTCAATTTCTGTCTAAGTTTTAGTTTTGAATTTTTCGAAAGAAGTGAACTCAGAATTCTTAACCTTTGATTTAGCGTTTTTCGTTTCTTGATTATATGTGGGCCCCACGTCATTTTTCTGTAAAATGTCAGACCAAGGTAGTGAACGGTGTCTGTCTGTGGAATCTGTGTGTTGTCAAGGAAAACTGGACGGCATGTTTCATGTCGAAGCGTGAATGTGATGTGCTGTGATTTGTCTTGATTTAGTCGGATTTTGCAAATTTTGAACCAGTCATGTAATCTTGTTAAATACTGTTGTAGGGTCTGTGAGGCGTATGTTGGATTTTTGTGTCTTGCTAAAATTGCTGTGTCATCTGCATATGTCGCTGTTAAAATGTTGGGACTGCAAGGTATGCCATGGGTGCATGTGATATAGAGTAGTGGAGCGAGTACTGAACCTTGAGGTACTCCTGCTGAGATAGACTTGATGGAAGATAGTTCTGACCCGTGTAGGACCGAGAAAAATCTATCGGAAAGGAAGGATTGTAGAATTAGATAATATGTAGGTGGGAGTATTGTTTTGAGTTTAAAGAGAAGACCCTGATGCCAAACTCTGTCAAACGCTTGAGCAACATCCAGAAATACGCCAGTTGCATATACTTTCTGCTCTAGTGCTGTAGATATGTAGTCCGTTACTCTACGTAGTTGGTGTATAGTTGAGTGATGTGCCCTAAATCCAAATTGATGGTCAGGTATTATTTGGGTGTTTGTTAGTATATCAATAAGTCTTTTGTTCATTAAGCTTTCAAAACTTTTGGAACAGATAGGTAGTAAGCTGATTGGTCGGTATGAGGAAGGTGAGCTTTTGTTGTTAGGCTTGTGAATCATTATTATATGTGAGTATTTCCACTGCAGTTAAATTTAGTTGTCCTCAGTATTGCATTATAAATAATTGTCAAAAGCACTACAGCTTTTCTAGGCATTTGTTGGAGCACTTCAGCGTTAATCAAGTCATGTCCAGGAGCTTTTCTTTTAGGCAACTTTTTGATTTGTTCAGCAATCTGGAAAGGTGTAAATGAAATAGGAGGTGAAGTTAGTTTGTAAGGGCACGTCTAAAGTGTTTAGTACATTGTTATCGTGCACAGTATTAGTGAAGTCTGTGTGTGCTATAAAAACAGAAGAAAGATATTTGGCAAAGAGTTCTGATTTTCACGATGCTTAATGAGGTTTTTGCTATGTCCCCACAAGCTTCCATCGTAGGTTGAGAGATTTCTGATGTAGCTGTCATAGGTTGTTCTTTTTAATTTTCCAATCTGTCGCTTGAGTTCATTATTAAGTCTGTTGTAAGTTCGTTTATCTGATGGGAGTCTGTCAGTCTGCCATATTTTGCGAGCTCTCCTCTTCGCTCTGATCAAGTCCCTTATGTATTGTGAGTACATTGGTAACAACTCATATTTTTGAGGTTTCGCTACTGATGAAGACCATGCTGCTTCTTGAATATTTCGTGTGAAGTATTCAACGGCATCCTCAAGTTCTTCTTCGTTTTTAATGGATAGAGGAACTGAGAGAGCAGTGTCCAATTGGTTCTTGAACCTGTCCCAATCCATTATGCCATTGATCAGGGACATTTTTTGGTGACTTCACAAGGCTCTTCACAAGGAATTAGATAATATGTAGGTGGGAGTATTGTTTTGAGTTTAAAGAGAAGACCCTGATGCCAAACTCTGTCAAACGCTTGAGCAACATCCAGAAATACGCCAGTTGCATATACTTTCTGCTCTAGTGCTGTAGATATGTAGTCCGTTACTCTATGTAGTTGGTGTATAGTTGAGTGATGTGCCCTAAATCGAAATTGATGGTCACGTATTATTTGGGTGTTTGTTAGTATATCAATAAGTCTTTTGTTCATTAAGCTTTCAAAACTTTTGGAACAGATAGGTAGTAAGCTGATTGGTCGGTATGAGGAAGGTGAGTTTTTGTCCTGGTTAGCCTTGTGAATCATTATTATATGTGAGTATTTCCACTGCAGTGGAAATTTAGTTGTCCTCATTATTGCATTATAAATAGTTGTCAAAAGCACTACAGCTTTTCTAGGCATTTGTTGGAGCACTTCAGCGTTAATCAAGTCATGTCCAGGAGCTTTTCTTTTAGGCAACTTTTTGATTTGTTCAGCAATCTGGAAAGGTGTAAATGAAATAGGAGGTGAAGTTAGTTTGTAAGGGCACGTCTAAAGTGTTTAGTACATTGTTATCGTGCACAGTATTAGTGAAGTCTGTGTGTGCTATAAAAACAGAAGAAAGATATTTGGCAAAGAGTTCTGATTTTCACGATGCTTAATGAGGTTTTTGCTATGTCCCCACAAGCTTCCATCGTAGGTTGAGAGATTTCTGATGTAGCTGTCATAGGTTGTTCTTTTTAATTTTCCAATCTGTCGCTTGAGTTCATTATTAAGTCTGTTGTAAGTTCGTTTATCTGATGGGAGTCTGTCAGTCTGCCATATTTTGCGAGCTCTCCTCTTCGCTCTGATCAAGTCCCTTATGTATTGTGAGTACATTGGTAACAACTCATATTTTTGAGGTTTCGCTACTGATGAAGACCATGCTGCTTCTTGAATATTTCGTGTGAAGTATTCAACGGCATCCTCAAGTTCTTCTTCGTTTTTAATGGATAGAGGAACTGAGAGAGCAGTGTCCAATTGGTTCTTGAACCTGTCCCAATCCATTATGCCATTGATCAGGGACATTTTTTGGTGACTTCACAAGGCTCTTCAAACAATAGCAAATGCAAAAGGGAATGATCTGAACTCGTTTTTATGGTGTGAGGTGTTGTTCGGAGTCCTTTAGTTATGAAAACATCGAGTAAGTCTTGTGTTTTCCGTCTAGAAGTTGGCCATTAAGTAGGTGAATTAGGTGATATTGTGTCTAATGAAAGCTCATGAAGAACATACCTAAGATTCCTTCCTCTTGGAGTAGATAGTCTGGATCCCCAGAACTGATCTTTGGCATTGTAGTCGCCTCCTGCAACAAAGCATTTACCAAGCATCTATGCCCTGTCCGTGCATTGAGAGTTGTCATTGCAGTCCATATAACCTGCCCCAGGCTGGGGTGATAGGGCCGCGTTCATAGTAGCCGCTAATTAGTGCCGCCTCGCTCATTAGTGCTACTCCAAACCTATCCGTTAACGTTTGGATTCGTTAATTATTTTCAAAATAACAACTTCTAAA